CCTCTTTTTGTCATATCTGATATGTTTAGAGTCTAAAGTAATCGATACTTTAGGGATTCAATAATTACATTATTGTTTAAATATTCAACTATTTTTCTAACTGTAACCTGGCTATCTTTCCTAAGAAATTGCTTAGGACTAAGGACACATCTCTTCCCTAGTTGCTTTTACTAGGCAACAGAAAAAACATCACTTTTAACCATCTTCCTTCCTTCACTTAATCAATCCCAATTAATGATGAACTTCTGACAAGGCTTTTGGCTTCATAAACCTTGTACAAATTATTATGTGCTACTTTACAGCCGTTCGTTGCTCGAGTACGACTGAGTCAATCATTTTTTGTCACAAGTCACCTACATATTGATGTCATTTTCACATTGTGACCTCACAAACATGGTGCAAAACATTACATAAAATCTGCTATTTATAGAACATGTGTATGTTTATAGGGTGAGTTAACCTTGCATCGGACGCATACCTTGCTTCGGACAACTTTAAGCAATAAACTTTCATTGAACCTGAGTCTCCCTGTGTTTTTACTTGTTTCTGTCTTAAAGGTGAAGAATAATGCCGATTTTTATTTTCATGTTGTGATAAAAATAACACAATAATGGCCTTGAAATAACGTCATATTTTGCATCATCAAAGGGGAGTAACAAGAATTTTACGATTTTGCAATTTTTAGAGTTGTCGTTCTTTTAAATACACTTCAACGGAACGAGTAGGACCTACAATGTAGGTAAAATTTGTCAATGATTGTTAATTTTACAGATTTTTTTAAAAAAATTTCTACTTCAATGTTTGTATTATATTTTTTAGAGTTGTTTTTTTTACTAGTTTTTTTTTCACCGTACATCGGACACAAATTAACCATGCATCGGACACTTTCTGATGCATGGGTAATCACTTCCATTTTCATTTAAAACCCAAATGACAGTTGTTTTTTTTTTTACGGAAATAGAAAATAAAAAAGGATAGCAAATAGTGATACACTATTTGCGTAAATCAAAAGTTTCAAAAGCAATAGAGTAGTACAAAACAGGTACTAAAAGTCTGAAAAGTCATAAAAACAAGAAAACAAAATACTATATAAAGGGACCAAAAGTCAGAAAAGGAATGATACCATACAATATAATATCATAAGTCATTCAAATAATTTTAAGAAAAATACGAGATAGTAACCATTAGTCAGAAATCAAACGATCATAATGCATTAAATACGTGCCGAAAGTCACAAAACAGTAGGGTAATACTAGTACATTACACAAACCGAAATCCTGGAAAGCAATACAAGTCAAGGGTAGGCTTTATGTGTTTAGTTTTATGCTAGAAATGACTTCGTGCACATTTCGAAGTGCGTTAGGGTGATGGCTCCTTTAAGATTTCTGACATGTCATTTAATTACTACTATTAAAGAGTAACTCTTCCTAGTCAGTGTAATTGGCGTAGAAAATAACTGGTTCCAAAAAAATGGATAAAATCATTATTAACACAGATGGAATTTACTAAAAATTAGGGATGTCAATTTTGTCAATAATTCATATTCCAATATTCAATGAAAGTACTAGTATTCGAATATATTCGAATATTCGATAAAATAAATAAAATATGGTTTATTTTAAATGTACATCAACATACTTTCGTTGCAGGCTTTGCGTCGGTATTTGGAAGTAAAATTGGATGTACGAGACTACATTTGATATTTGTCAATATATAAAATAATTGACTTCAGAGTATACAACCAAATTATAATTTTCACAAAATATAACCAGGGACAAGAATGCCGTTTACTCTTCAGATTTAAATACAATTAATTAATTACAATTATCTGCTTAATAATCTTTAATTCAATGTTTCGAAAATATAAGCAAACACTTCCATAGACAATTTTCCTAGGTCATTAGTTTTCCGATAATGATTTTAAAATTTTAATTAATTAATATTCAATCTGAGATAATCAAGATAATCAAATAATTGATGCTTTATTCTGAAATTGAGCCCTTTACAATATTATAGGCTGATTCTATCAAAGATGTACATGTAATACAATGATCAATAAAATTTATTTCGTAAGTGTATGTTCACTCTTCACATCTCTTAGACTTTCAAGAAGGGTTTCATTTCGTTGTCCTCGAATCTAGATCCGATCATATAATTGAAAATACATTTTGTATTATACATTAATAAATTATCCATACCAAGGACTGTATTATTTTGGAATATTGACAGATTTAGAAAGAAATTGGATAGTACGCAGGAGAGAGTCCAGGATTTTGGTTGGAAAATAAAGATAAATTAAAGAGTTTGACAATAATAAATAAATAAATGAATAAATAAATAAAATTAAGAAATTAAAAGAATTAAAAAAAATCGCAAAGCGACGTACTTCCGCATTAGGGAATTCTGAGACTCTTATGGCAAAGATGATTTCAAAAGTCTGAAGAATTTTTTTCTTGCTCATATCAAATAATATCAGTACATCAAAAGCTATTTTTCTATGCTCAAAAGATGACTTAATTTTTCGTAGACAAAAAGAATTAAATGAGGGGGAAAAGTTGAAATTATATAATTACTATAACCCACAAAGATCTTTTTTTTCTGTTCTTCTTATCAGTGACAATTAAATTGCCGCAGGTGATTTAATATTTTTATATTTAATTTAATTTGAATGACCCTTGTCACTTTAAAAATGTCTCAATTTTGACCCAAATAAATCTGATGATAGCTAATTGAATACAAAAAAGCTTCTCTGTTATGAAAAAAAAAGGTTTCTATAGATTTTTTGGGGCATTTACAGTAACAAGATTGACAATGGGGCCGTGGTCCTACGCCATTTTTTTCTCTGGTTTCCAGATATTTGATACTCCGAACATTCTGAATTCAATATTCCTGCTGATAACAATCAAACAGCAAACAGATGCCGAACAATAACACATAATTTGGCGATTGTATCAAGCGGGGAAAGTCAATATAAATATCTATAAACAACAAAGTAAATTAATGTCAGATTTTGGAAAACTGTTTATTATAGTTTTATTTATTTGATGAACAATGGAGAGATTTGCAAATGCATTCAAAATACACATCTTAAGTTATACTTTTATAATAGAGAACATGGTGTTGGATCAGAACTGAATTATAGATGAATTATTTGAATAACATGTTAACTTATCTTCTGAGAAAACTTAATAAAACAATGATATATTTATAAAGTTTTCAATTATTTTGTACAAGTGACAGTCTTATTCTTTATACAACTAAATCTGATAATGAAACATTACTCCACCAACATCAAAGATTTGGAGGGTCATTCAAATAAGAAAAAAAAATCAGCAGACATTCACCGGATTGCATCAAATCACTAAAGAACAGTTCCACTGAGGATGTTGACTCTGCATAAATATCACAAATTATTTTTCATGTAAAGTCAACGATTATTGCTACAGAGAAAAAGTACTAAAGAAAAAAGTGCTTATGCACATGTTTACATAAAATATTAATACCATCAATCTTAATCTTAACGCCAATCTAGCTTAAAAAAAAACGCGATGACGTGTCGAACAGTTTGTTAATTTGAAACCGTGGTAAAAAGTATGTCGGAGGTATTGAAATAATCATGTTGTAGTATAGTATTCTATCATGTATCAAATCAGAATTATCAATTTGTTTTTGAAGGTTCAAAGCATCAAAAAGTGGCATAAATTTTGATATCAAAATAGATACGATCAATATGTAAGAGGATCTCACGTTCTTTCTATCGATGAATCTGAACCATATTTATCTAGCTCAATTCCTTATCTAAGATATTACTTACTGTGAAATCACTCATTTTTGTGGGAATTTAATTTTCGGGGTTTTGAGGTATGAAGAGACCCACGAATTCATGTCCAACACGAATGTACAATGTCATATCCATAACTTCTCAACAATTCATCATCCACGAAATCAAATCCCCACGAATCCATAGTTATTCCTCAAACCAAAAAAATTGACCCCACAAAAATACATGTATGTGATTTTACAGTATATATGGAACCATCATTGTTCGTTGGGAACCAATGTTCGTGGATTTCGTGGATTACTTACCAACGAATTTTACCTCACCACGAACAATAACTTTGTCAACATATCAATGCATCAAATCTTTTGCATTTACGAATTACCCACCAAATTACGTCCCATTGAACAAGAAAATTTTTATTGGAATCGAACATTGACACTCACGAATTAAAATGATTCCAATTTCAGAAATTAAAAATACTAACGATGGGGACGCATATGTATGTTAATTGAGTAGATCTTGACGAAATAATCTCCTGCTAAATTTAGCTATAATATGCAAATTTTTGCACACAGTAGGGAGTCAGGAAAATGAAAATACAGACGAATTAAAATTTACAAAATAATATCCATTTGTAGTTATATTTGATTTCCTTATTGTTTGAATGATATGTCACATAACAATAGCATGCTGCAAGCATGAGAAAAATGAGTGCCACATTACATTCGTCATATCGACATGTTTGGCAAAAATATATGGCCACTGATACAGTATGCACTATATATATATAAAACAAAAATGAAAAAAGCAATAAACTCAGTTCATATAAAACTTTTTTTTAAATATTTATATTTATTTTCACTGACCAATTAATCAATAAAAAATCAGTGAGTCAAACAAATAATCAAAAAATAGACTTGCTGCTTATCACATAGTATTTGTATATAAATACAAATGTGGCACACCTGTGCATTGAATAAGGGTTAACTTACAGCAAACAGATCAAAGCCAAAGACGGATAATAACCGGATTTAAATAACCTCTTGCGAACCGTTACAATTCGTAAATCAAGACCAAAGTCCTGAAGTATTACGTACATAGACAACAGTATCAACATTAACATGCAATAAGGGTAAAATCCCATTTTCATTTGTAAAAGTCAACTAACTTATTGCTTTTTTGTTGTTTTTCATTAATAAAATGGAATGACAATACAACAGCACTAAATTATAATGAAATTAATTCAACGTATCGTTAATTTGATGATGCATGATATATAATGTTGCTTGGCAACAAATTTATAAGTAATATTTACAAATTTAAACATTTCATTAATTTTGATGTCTGATTCAAATTAAGGATGGTGAAATCAATTTTTTATTTATAAGGGTTTAAAATCCCTTGATTACCTCCTGTAAATATGCTTCACAGCAGAGCGGAACTTTTGGTCTCGGATTCCATAAATAAAAGGATTAACCATCGAGTTGACAAAGTAGGACCAGATAAACGTGTAGTATACTTGAGACTCGACAAGCGAGAGACTGCAGTCGAAACCTTTAACAACGAAAATCATCACCGCGAGAAGATGGTGGGGCAAAGCACTAAGGATATAAGCAATGGTGACCAAACAAAGGGTAATCGTAGACCGACGAGCATTGGTCATTGTCGGGTTTTTGTTTAACTTTTCATCAGTACGCATAGTAGACTGGCGCCGAATGGTATCTTGAAATGCAAAATGGTTATGGATGTTACGGCCAATTTTGATGTAGACAAAGACCATTATTGTGGACACCGCAACAAAGTAGAGGCCCAGTAGCGCGTTGTAATAGATCTGATATTTCTTTTCCTCATATCTCAGTTCTGTGAAACAGCGATAGCCATGTAGCCCTGGAACACCTGTTTCAATGTCTCTCATTCCATACAGAAAAGGAGCTGGCCAAGAAAAGAGGAAAGCTACCACTACATTCATGAAACACAGAAGTTTTGCTTGTGTGTTAGTCAATTGATGCTTCAGAGGGCTACAGATCGCCTTGTGTCTGTCAATGGCTATAGAGATAAGAGAAGACGTGGAGGCTATTGCTGCAAAATAGTTAAAGAAACGAAATATCTTACAATAAATTTCAGAAGGGAAAGTCACTGGAAAAAATAAGTAGGAAACAACCATTGGTGCCACAACAATGCAGTTGAAAATGTCTAGCATGGCCAGCCATATGACATAAACACGGTAGTTAGATTTAGAGAACTGGCGGGTGTATACCCACAACACGTGTGCGTTTCCAATGAGTCCGATCACACTCAATATGCAGAGAAGACTGATCCCCCCGAGGTTTCTCCTTACCAGCTGGTCATTCACTTCTTCAAGTGTCACATTTATGAAAGATCCACCTAAAGCCTCTTTCAACCAGGCATGACACGTTTTATTTTGGATTTCCGTCGTGATTTCAGTGGAATTCATTCTAAAACAAATTAGAAGGTGCAAAAGTTATTAAATCTTCTGCTCAGCTGATATAGAAAAGATTACTATATACTTTATAAAATTGTAATTAAAAACTGTATTAAAATACAGTCTTGTATTACAGAAAAATCATCATTTAAAAAAGACTATTTTACATCACCATTTAAAATGGTATAAAAACATGTCATCTTCGAATTATTCCATTGCATAATCTTAATATATGTGAAATAGGATATTTCGAAAATTGTAAAAAAATAGATATTACGTGGCTGTTAAAGAATAACAAAAAATTACATGAAAATAACCTTAAGCAAAGGTCCCAATGATTTATACCGTAATGGACGCCTCTTAAGTCTTCTCAAAAGTAGAAAAAATAGACAAAATATGCCTACTGTTCAATCCTAATATTTTAACAAACCTGAAGATTTTTTTTCCAAAAATGAAATTCTGAACACTCTAATAACCCGACACTATCTAGATTCAGATTTAACTCTAGAAGAGCCGCCCTAATTGAACATCACATCAATTTTCCTTTCACTTCATTAACCGTTTGTACCATCAATCCCCATCCTGTTCACGGAGAGTGTGCATTACCGCTTCACTTTGTTCACGGACCAAAATTTGCAAAGCTTTTGCAAGCTAGACGTCCCAGGGTCTGGAAATTGTTTTCCTCACGGGAGGTGCGCCGGTGATTTGGCTATTTATAAATCGAAATAGGACATGCGACAGTGAAAGAGCTAATTGATATGATTTTAGATCATCTAATAACGGATGGTGGACAATATAAAATCAAAAAGCTTCCACAAACATGAAGATGATAAAATCTACGCTTGACGGCTAACCGATGGACATCATACAATGACGTAGCTCTGAACTTAGTATTAAAAAGTATCGATATAAAACAATCAATCAGGTTTGTTCAAATTTTAGAGAAGTGGGAGACGATACTACAAACGATTAACAACAGAATGAAATAATTAAATAGTGCAATCAAATAATCCCCTTTTGTGTCCGTTATCATAGATCGAAATTTTTATTTACAGAAGGTGAACAGGCGTTGTAAAAGTGATCGAAGTTCGTTAAATAAATACCGCAAATGAAGAAATTATTAGTTGCAGTTCATTGACTGTTTCAACTTTTATCAAGTGGTCGATGTTATCAAAAGCTTCATCGCAAACAAATGGCACATCAAAGTTTTAAATGTAACCTTTCAAAAAATATTTTTTTTAAAAAAATTCTTTTTAATTGACGTCGGCTGTTTCACAAAACCTCAAACACTGGCTGTTTTGCAAAGTAGATAATCTATAATAGATAAATCTATATGTTATAAAAGCGCTTTGTGAGAAATTGAAATTTTTATTATGATTTACTACTCTTTTAATGGAAATATTGGCATTTCTGACATATAATATAAATTCAAGTTAAGGAAACAAAAACTATCATCCACAAGTTCAGTACTTTAAATTTGATATCCACTCCATCTACCAATATTCTGAATAAAATGGAACTCAACATCTACAATAATTCCAGTTATCTTTTTCTGTTCAATTATTGAATAATTTATCTTATCCCATGGTCTGTCGTTATAAACTTTACTTAATTATGACATATTATGCACATTGTAGTACATGAAATGTTTTAAAATTTTCCAAAATATGAACAGTTTTTAGAAAAATTGCATTGTGTTAAGAAATGAATTTCATTTTTGAAGATTCATGAGGACATGAACTACGACGCTTCGCGCCATGAAGCGCGTTAGTGCTTCGTGATAAATATACCAGCGTGAAGCGTTGTAGTACATGTGCCTCATGAATCTTCAAAAATTGGATTCATTTCTTATATTTACATTATTTTATTTTTCTGATGAGTCGCCACAAATTACGCCATACAAATGTCATTTTTAAAGCAAAAACAGTTTGCACTATACTTTTGACGTTAAGCACGTATTATGACGTAACAATGGATATATTCATGCTCATCCATGGTAGTTCATGTTTTTTAATTTGCAAAGAATCTTAAGGAGGTTGGATCCTTTCACCAAAAGTAATGAGAATTTTTTATCAAGTATATTTTAAGAATTTATACACATAGCTTAATTAAAAATCAAAACAAAAAATGGGGGTCAATGCGCTTCTTTTGGCGCTACAGAGCATTTAGTTTGACCTTTTTGCAGTGTAAATACGTCTTACACATAAATCAATTTTTAAAGTTTTTCCTACAATATTTTTTATTCAAATAAATTATGGGAACAAACACAGCCTTATTTCATCTTGAAGAGACACATTAAAATTTGTGACAACGAAAAAATTTTCAAATTACTCCACATGTTCAATTATTTGACCTTTTTGCACTCAAAAATATTCATTTTTCTGACATTAAAAATTTAACAAGCAAAAAAATAGTTTGAAAGTAATGACATTTTACTGAATTTAAGAAGAATGGTTAAAAGTATCTTAAATATTCAGAAAAGAAAAGAAAAAGTGGGGGTCTGTGATGTTAATTTTCAGATATTACTAAAATAGTGCATATTTTAAGCTTAAAATAGGGATTTTTTTCTTGATTTTCACAATATATTTGCTATATTTATGAAATATGATGATAGAATTCATGACAATTTATTTGATATATAATTTAGGACCAGTATAAATCAGTTCACTGTACAAAATAACTTTGTGCGCAGGCTGCATGGAAAAATAGGAACCCAAACTTAACATACTTTAAACACTTCGAAAGAGAAAAAAATGATCATTTTCTTCTAAAAAACCTTCCGCCACAAAATATAGTTCCTCACTTAATGCTTTTGGTATGGAATTTAATCATGGAGTTTTAACTGAATATAGTTTAACTGGCATCGTAGAATCCAAATTTATTGTAAGAATTAAAACTTTATGCAGAATTTTTAAAATATAGGTTAAGATAAAAAAAATTGCTCAAAAGCTCAGGAGCGAACCTCGTTAAGGAAAAATATTTGGAAATGTAATTATTACAGACCCCCCCCCCCCCCCACACACACACACAAGAACAAAATCTCAATATATATTTTTTATCTAGACGAGCAAGAATATGGCAAATTACATAAACAATATCCCTCACTTTTACTTTTTCAGTTTTTAACCAAATGGACGTGTCTTTCTGTCAATATTGAAATAAGAGAGTGGGGGTAAATGCAGATTTGCAATGGGACTGCCCAGCGAAGGGTACCTTAATTATAAAAATAAAAGTACATTTAATAAATACAATCAGAATTGAAAGAAAATTCGACATTTACTGAAATTTGTCGAAACAGATAGGGATCGTTAATAGGGGTGTTAAAACGTTTTATAAATCACAACTAATTATGGAAGAAAGTTTAATTACATAAAGAACATACAAGCTGCTCATTGTAATAAATAAATGCACAGATATAAATATTAAAGATTATGCCCTTAACCTTTAACATGTTACATGTACAATAAATGGTTTGTGGAAATTTATCTAGGATAGATGAAATTCACATTTTATTTGAGTCATTTTAAACCCTCTTTATCAGGCATGCCATAAAAATGTGTTCGATAAACTTTTCACTTATTAAGGAAACAATGAAGATATATATTTCATATATTGTTATATTACACAATACAATGAATGTGCTTTTACAGATAAATTGATAAGAATTTAATACTGATGGGACAGATTTATATGCAGTAAAAGATGAAAGAGACAATTTATGTGGTTTTCACTGTAGGATAAAAGCGTAACAATTACTTGTGTTATTTATACGAGGGTTGATCCAAAATAATATCAGAACTACTATAAAATCTTTAATAATCGAAAATTTTCATCAAAACTTTAAATACTGATGTCTGAATCTATTTTGACTTTTGCCCTAAAATTTCATTCCTATATAAATGCAATACTTTATAAAATATTAAAATAAACACAACATTGGGTCTCGTCTGTCGCAGTACGGCAAGAGTGTACAGACGTTGTTATGACGTTTCTCTTGAACACTTACTTTGAATCTGATGATGCATAAGATTTACGCGAAAGGGATAAATTTAAAAATAGCATTTGATATTAATACAACAACTTAAAAGAGGCGGTTTATAGCAAAAAAAAAAAAAAAAAAAAAAAAAAAAAAAAAAAAAAAAGAAGAAGAAGAAGTGAAAATAAATAAAAAGAAGCAGGTAAGAGGTTTAAAAGATAGGCAGATGGACTGAAAATGTCCTTAACAAAAATACTATAGTTCACTATAGTTAACTATAATAAATAAAAGTTTCAAGGTTATCACTATAGTAATCAAAATTTTCAAAGTTATCACTATAGTGAATTCATGTTTTCAAAGTTATCACTATAGTGAATTCATGTTTCCAAAGTTATCACTATAGTGAATTCATGTTTTCAAAGTTATCACTATAGTGAATTCATGTTTTCAAAGTTATCACTATAGTTAATCGTAGTTTTCAAACTTATCACTATAGTAAATCAGAGTGTCAAAGTGATCACTATGCTAAATCAAAGTTAAAGATTTATCACAACTGTATATTATGTTCTGTGATAGAAGTCTCAATTAATTTCACATTAATTGCACAACATGATAATATCCAGTTTTACAGATTTTCTTTTTTTCTTTGTTGAACTTTGCATTCCAAATAATTCCATGCACGTTGCATGCAGTACAGTTTCTTTTAAATCTTATTTTTAGCGATTCATTTTGAAACCTCATGTTTTTCAATGACTGCTACTGGCTAAACATTTCTAAAATGAATATTGTTTGTCTTTCATTTTACTTGATCTTTTTTATATTATTAAATCACATTATATTGATATCATTAAGTACATAAAACAAGATGTATAAAATTATCATCTTATGTACAACGATATGAAGTATATTAGATTGTTAACCATACTCAATCAAAGTTTTCATAGTCATCACTAAAGTATTTCAAAGTTTTCATAGTTATCACTTTTAGTGTCATAGTGATCACTATATTAAATAAAAGTTTTCATAGTTATCACTAG